CTTCAGTTCTATGGCTTTCTGTATTAGACCAGATTGTGTTTTCAGATGTCTTGGTCTATTCTCATAGGTGCTGAAGAACTTATCCATGGGAATGCGCAGTAGTTTCTCATACAGGATCAAGGCCTTTTCTTTGATAAGGGAGCATATTGTAGTGCTTCCTGTAACTAGGAGCATTGCATCAGTGGGTGTTGATTTTATCCCCCCAGTAATTAATCGTAATGCTTGGTTGCGTGCCTTCTCGAGTGGTTTGAGAGTCACCTCTGTGGCTGTAATGAGTGGCTCACAGCAATACAACATTATTATTATTTATATCAAATGGCAGGCGTTGTGAAAGTTATCATTAGCCCTTTAGTTGACCTCAGGCTTCACAGAGGAGGAGGAACATAAAAGTGAAACAAGTCTATCGCACACCCCACAATACAACATTATTGGTTGAATAAACATCTTGTAAGTGGTGCTGAGAGTTGNCTTCGATTTCCTTTCCAGCTCTATTTGTATCCTTGTAGCCCCATCTGGTGGAATGGGCGTTGAAGTCTCCTAATACTATAGTTTTGTGTGAGATGTTCAGAAAGTCAAAGTTGGGACAATTCTGGGGTGGATTATAGACTGCATATATCTTGAAGTGGTTTTGACATTTCCAAACATTTAATCTGATCATTTCACATATGTCTTGTGTCGAGCCCATACTCTTGATTAGATCGTAGTGTGAGGTGAGGCCTTCTTTTACTCCAGTTAGAATTCCACTTGCAACTTGACGGTATTTAGGTAGAAGGTACAGGGTGTAACCTGAGAACTGGCAGTACTTCAGTTTTCATCCGAAATGTTTGCTTCCATAATTGTGAATATGTTTACGTCATAGGTTTGTAGGATTTTCTGGACTTGGATCTTTTTGTCCTGTGACATCCCTCCAGCATTCCACTAGAGGATCTGAAGACGTCGTGATTCGCCCTGAAGAGGCCGATTTCTCTTATAGCCTTTTTTTAAGCTAACCATAATAAATCGAAGTCAAATCAAATGCCGAGTGATAGACTTTTTTGCCGTACGAAGATATGTTGTCCAGGGTGCACCACGTGAATGTAAGTCTATCGCGCACCCCATCTTGATTATTTGTTACTTTTATTATTTCAGTAGTAATGTTGAATTCCACTAAAATTGGTACCAATAAGGGGATTGACGCTGCACTTTGAAAGAAGGGGTAAACTATTCGACGGGTTGTTAGCGTGATGAAGGAAGGGACTGGTTAGCGGTTAAATACATGTCGAAAATGAGAACAGCTACTGTGAACAGAAAATTTTCCTCATTTGCTTTCATCTTTGTCAAAGTTGTTGAAAAACGCTTAGCTCTTTAGATCAGTTGTTCTTCCTGCAACTCTATTGGAACCCACCGAGAGGTTTCACAGGCCAAGATTTACTGTGAGAATTGAAAATGCTCATCCGTGTGGCAAATTCCACGATGGTAACTCATCTATCTCGCTCAAAAGAGATGCTTCCTTGCTCTGTTGGGTTCCCCTCTTGTGTCGCCATCAAGTTGCGCTCTTCTCTCTATAAATGGTGCACAGTCCCCATAAACCTGTTCTAAATTTCCAAAGTAAAATATATTACTTTAACGTTGATCTCAAATTTGACAATTGAAAGGCTTAAAATTTCAGCTATTTTATGATGCAACGTGTCTTGAGCCTGACCTCAGATAGAATGATTAGATGGTTGGAATGCTCAATAGACATGTTTGAAATTGCAAAAGCCTTTCAATATTTAAAACTATAGATTTTTTTGGAAAGAACTTGTCTGGTCAATATAGAGTGGGAAATCTGATGACATTAATAGGGAGAGCTTCTAACATAATGAATTTCGAAACGCATGGAGGTGTCCTTACCGTAATAAGAGAAAACTCCCTTATTGCTTCTCTCATTGGGATTTCTCGCCTTGCTTCAAATGTAGAATGCGTGTTCTGTGTATGTCACTATTTTACCAAGCCTGCTATGACAAGACTGATTTTGACTTTTAGAGGCCCCTGTGAGAAACATTTAAACTTCCCATAAATTTATTAATCATTTATCATCCAACATTTGAAGAGCCTTCGTCTGAGTCTTCGCCCGTAGTGCGAATAGCGGAAATTTGATTTGGCTGATGCAAGCACAACCCATTACGAGACCCTATTCCTCTCCAGCCTATCAAGTAGTTTTTGCAATTAATTGTCGGAAGAAATATAATTCTACAAGACGGGCATACAATATGGAGTATTGACTATTTTTATGTCTTGGCAAACTTTGTGCGAACAGTCTTTCTGGTCTTGATACGAATCCATTAAATAGTAGTTAGTGTATGCAATACACACTACTTTATATTTGTCAAGAGGAGGAAAAGAAGAGAACTGCTAGCAGTCAGAAGCGCATACGGTAAATTTAACCGATATCCTTCTTCAAAGTGCATTTTTGATCCACTTTATGAAGTGTTTTATCAACCTGTTGATAAAATAATGCTGTGGAGGGTATAGGACTACCGAGGTTGGTAAAATGAATTCCTAGCACACCTGAATACTCTGGAAAGTGTGGACTATCGATGGGGAACAAGTATGCCCGAAGGTCAGAAAACAATTATATATAAGCGGCGTAACGTATCATTGATCACATTCGCTAACCAAGCATGTTGGCAATTTCGTAACATATCCACTCGAGTGTCTATCTGGTTGAAAATACTTTCATTTACTTCCTCGTTGTTTATCCATACACGTTTGCCTGCACAACTCTACATTTTGGCAATGGTTGTTTACAAGTGACCATCATTTCTGGCTCTCCCTACAAATGGGTTTTCTCGCACGTATTCTTCCTTTCTGACCAATTGTAGCTTGAAACTTTACAGGGCTTTCTTTTCACATTATTATCCTCAAGTTTCAACAAGCAATTGAAAATTTAATGGAATGAATTAAGTTATATTTTTTATCTTATATCAAATGGCAGGGGTCTTGATGGTTATCATTAGCCCTTTAGTTGCCTTCACGCTTCACAGAGGGGAAGAAACATCAACTTGAAAAAAAGTCGAGAGGGGGAAGAGAGGAGTGTTTCAAAGATGTAAAAGAGGCAGACACAAAGGTGAGGTGAGTACTGTGGAAATAGTCTAATATGACATAGAGTGGGGTGATGGTAGTTTGAAGTGAGAAGTCAGCTGCCAGTTAATAGACTTTTTGCCGTATGAATATACATTGCCCAGGGTGCACCACGTGGAGGCAAGTCTGTCGCACACCCCTTGAAGTAAGT